GGAAAAACAGATATGACAACAAACCCGATGTCCGACGGACAACAGTTTGCAGTTTACCGTTGACGCAGAGCTCTTGCCTGTTTTGGAGAAACTATCAGACAGAATCAACCATGAATATTGCCCATCCATCCGCAACGAAACTGGTGAGAACAGCAGAATCCGATCACTAATCCAGTGCGAGTTGCGGTCTCCGTCCAAAAGACAACCACCCAAATACAGCCGATTCCCTGAACAATCGAGCAGGTAGTATGGATCGCAACTCCGAAATCGGAAATTGGCCGAGATCTCCTTCATAGAATGAAGCTTATAGGATAACAACATGTTTTAGCTGGAGCCTGCTTATAGGACTTCATGGGAAATAGTGCCGCGCTAGCAAAGCAACTGACAGGATGGGGAAATATGACGATGGTGCCCCGATTGTGGCGATGGGGTGTTCACGTGTGCCAAGTGGTCAGCCTGACAGGTATCCATATCTGAAGAGCAGATGCTTTATTCAGGTGGAAAATGCTCGGAACCGATTGAATAGTCATCGTTTTCGGGAACGTTTGGTAACAATCGGTAGATTTATTGCCGGGCGACGTTTCGCTTTTGACATAAAAGTTTCGTCAGGCCAAGTGACTAGGTTACGAGGTCGGTCGATATTTAAGACAGAAAGAGAACCAATCAGCTAAGCCAAGCTAAATCTCTGTTGGGTGTCGGCCAAGGGGTTATTATGTGTTAGGGTGGGTGAACAAGTGTTGGGCTGATGGGGAAACCTACATGTGTTTGGGTCCCCCTTAGGGTCTAGTTCTTCTGGTTCGGCCCATTTGACGGTCGTTTGAACTTTCTGTCCATCTGTGTGGATGAGCTAGTGATAAAATAGTTGTGTAAGAGGGATGCTGTGAACTTTGGTCGGATTGGGATTCCCACCCCCACCCCCCAGTTTTTAATGACTCCACGTGGTTTGACAACCAGACAGTCACGCGTCAACTTGGCTTATCTAAGACTGCTTTCCATATGCTTGCCAGTTCCACACCCTCGATTCTATTCACGCTGTGATGCTTAGTAATTTCCACCGCCTCGGCTATCAACCGCTGTGGTGTGAATCGCAGTCCCCATCTTAAAACTTCCACATTCTCCTTATCTATTCTATGTCCCGTGTCTAAGGCATGTACCGCCATCGCTGAGTCTTTGACCAGTGCTTGGTATTTTTCTGCATTCCTTGGCGGTTTGTTTATCCTTCTTTTATGCTCACCAATTCTGGTGTGCAATTCTCTGGCAGTTTGTTCTGTGTAAACCTTAGTGCAATCGTTGCAATTAAATATATACACGCAGTCCCTAGTCCCTTCAACCGACAAGGGATCTATCAATTGCACAAAAACTGAGTGTGGCGTTTTTCCCTTCTGGAAAGCTACTCGATTGTTGGCTAAGTTCAACAGTCTTCGAATAAACTTCGATGTTCCTGCCTTATATGGAATGGCTGCTGTGCTAGTCAATTCCTTACTGGGTCTAGATACTGGAACCAATATCTTCCTTAGTTGATGCCTAATCAAGCTCCCTTGGTATCCCATCTCTTGAAGTCTGTTGGAAATCTCGATTTGAGCTGCAGTTCGGTCGATCTCTTCTGTGCACAGCGCTCTGACCGGACGAAACGTCGATGAGACAGTACAGGCGTACACGGGCTTTGGATGTGCTGATGAGTAGTTTAAGAAGGTTTCCGTGTATGTTGGTTTCTGGTAGATCGTAGTTTTTAATTTCCCACCAATCTTGTATCATAGAGTCCAGAAAGGGTAATGTGCCGGAGGTGGACTCTATTTTCACGCTACACTTGATGTGTGGATTTAAACTATTGAGATAGTCAAGGAAGCTGTTCACGTTATCTCGTTTGATTACAACAAAAATGTCGTCAACATGACGCCAAAAAACCTTCCGGCTCAGGCTACTTGTTCGAATTCCCCCATATAAATATTAGCTAAAACTGAGGATCTCATTGCAAGACCTTGTTCTTGTGACTAAACAATTGTCAAAAAGGAACTGATCAAGATTCAAACACACTCTTATGACCTCAACTATTTCATCCACCGAGAGCTGTGCCCGTTCCCCGAGTGTCGTGTTAGCCAGTAACAACCTCTTAGTTACTTCCAGACCATCTGTCCTAGGGATGTTTGTGTACATTGAGATAGTCAAAACTCACGAGGACTTCGTCCATCTGCAAAGGAAGTCCTGCGACCTTGCTGGCAAAGTCGTACGAACTCCTAGTGAAGGTGCTTGATTTCCCCGTGAGCGGTTCTAGTATACCAGCTAAGAATCTGGCCAGTTCATGTGGTGGCGAGCCTAAAGCATCCACTATTGGCCTTAGCGGGACATCTGCCTTGTGGATTTTTGGCAGTCCGGAGTGTCGTTGTTGAATCGCACTTTTTGGGTGCAACCGATACCACTTACCTTGCCCTAAATGGTTTATTACGGATCTTAAATACCTACCAACTTCAACCTTACTCTTTCATTTTTGAATACTGCTACCGGTAATTTGTTGGTCCATCGGCGGGGTGTTCCCTGACTACTGTGGTAATGACAATACTATCTACCTGTCTCAGTTTGTTCAACGCTCTCCACTCTGATGGTGCAATATTCGGAGCTCCGGGCTGTTGGGATTTTAGGACCGTGACCAACTGTACTCGTATCTTCTCAAATTCCGCTGAAAGAAGCCTTTGAAACACCGACTCTACGCTAGGAATGATTTTCTCCGCTCTCTTTACTTTCTTGCTCACAGCGAATTTGAATCCCTTTTCTAACAGACAGCGTTCGTCTTCACTCAATGATCTACCTGACAAATTAACTGCACAACAGTAATTGGTGGATGGTTTAGTTCTTTCTGTGACCTTCTAGAGCCCTGAGTCATGGAAAGCAGTTGGTCGAACTTGCGTATCTGCCCTGCGTATCGGCCCTGCGTAAGCTTCAACTGTGGCTTTGGTGTTGTGCATTTGGAAGCCGGCGGGTGAGATCGCGGTCTGAATATCTTGGCAGAGTTGACTGGCATGGCGGTGTACATCGGTTAATCGCTGGATGGTTAGGTAAATCCTCTGTTTGAGGAATAACGGCCGCTGACAAAGTAATTTTAGCAGAAGCAACTGACGTATCCGATGACTTCCCGATCAGGGATGTGGGAATAATACTGTGCTTTAAGCACAGATGGATAATCAGCACGGTTAAAAACTATTGTCCTGATCTGGACGAAAATACGGAAAAAGCTGCCGGTAGACTAAAACGCAAGACACTTCCGTTTATAATAGCTGTGGTAGCCTGAACAAGTATTTTACCGATATTGTCCTCTCAAGGATGGCAAAATCATTAGCCACAAGGGGAATATAAGCCTTGACGGTGTACTAATGGACGTGTTTCGGTAACATTGGCATGGTGCCATGTTAGGGGGGAGTGGATTGCGCTGAAGCTCCAAGGAGCTGACGGACGACAGTGCCCATCGTCATGACATCAAGTTCACACGCCGATCTTAGTCTCTCGGGTTTAAACCGGCGCCAGGGGCACACCTGCAGCATTATATTCGGCTCGAACCACCTGTAGACCTACCACGTCTTCCGAGTATATGAATTTGATGACTCGATGACCGTAAGTCGTACAGTAAACTGTCTGGAATTTCTTAGTTGAGGAGTGAATTCACTGGGTTCCCATTAATAGTTTATAGATGAACTGGAACGGCTGAATTAGACCGATCACATGTTAATGCCAGTGACTGACTTTGTACCACACATAGTTCCCATTTTCTCGTCAATGCAATTGAAGTCAGAATGTGATAACACAATCCCACTGACTGTAAGCACATCCCTTTCTTCCGCTTCAACTAATATATTCAAAGTCTGAATGTGTATCTTCCGGCGGTGAGTTCTAATTCACAAAAGCGGAACTGTAAGGCAACAACCTACTCCACAAAGGTTCACCTAACAGAATCGGTATAGACGTTAAGTCACTTGTTGTACAACCTAATAATGAAAATATGGCACCATTCGTACGCATTCCTTATATTCGGTGTTGACAGTGAAGGTTCGAGATTGGAGTCATGTACTGGTCAGACGTTGCCTCTAAACGAGCAGTGATACGCACGCTTACGTATCCAATGGATAAGAGGATTTTATTTTGAAAAAAAACGACAAGCGTACTGAAAATCGCAGCCCTGACTTTGACACTCCTGACAATAGAACAACCAACTGATGCTAGGTAGTGTCCCCGAAACTCTTGACTCGACATGGACTACATTGTAGGGTCCTACAACGACGACAGCCATCATCGGCAAAAACTCACGGTGGTGACGATGACTTCACCACTGCCAAATGCCGAAGAAATGTACAATAATCTTAGTTGAACCGTTTTTGTTAACATTAGGTCTGATAGGCTGACAATGCACAGCTGCCGTGGGACGCTTAAGATACACGAGGACCGATGTGCTACCAACTTGACAGAACTTCATTATCGAAACGATCATGCAAGTGAACTAGGTTTTTATAACATTGACTATCTCCTTCAAACAATATCGTACTTTTTTAAAAGAGTAGCCGAAATAAGAAAACGTTCAACCCACAGCAGAACCGATGCCCATGAAAAGTGGTATGAAAATTACCTGAAAGCACGACATCTTTATCACCACATCGCACATGTCCTGGGAGGGATCACGTGCCTATCCTAACCAAAACTAAGCTTGGAAAAACAGCACAACACTTTACAAACAAATACGGCGAAGTATGCTTCATGTGCCGGAATACGATATCAGTACACCTCAAGATTTATAGCCCCTAAGGCTAACTTGAGTTCATTTGTCTTCGCGTTTATGGGGGATATCACTAGGGTTGATGACCGTTGCTTTAAACAAACCACCAGACACAATGGACCAGACTCTGCATACCTAGAGAATCGGAAACTATCGGAATGACGGTAACCACCAGAATGGACCAGACTGCATACCTAGAGAATCGGAAACTATCGGAATGACGGTACTAAACGCACATTATGGGCTCTAGTGTGAATGAACCACAAATACCAACAAATGATCAGCAGTGCAAAAAATAGTCATTTGGCCAGATACATATTGGCTCGTTTAGCGCACAGCAGTAGCGACAGCGGCAGGGGAGTGACGTGGGACCAAGGGCAGAGTGGTGAAAATGCAAAAACGCTAATACGACGGGAAAAACGTGTGCTTCCAAGCATAATCGCATTACTGTTTGTGCGGCGCAAAACGAATTGGCAGGAAGTTAAAAGGAAAAGTGGTCGAATCTGTAATCGAATCCCGCCCCAATTCCATGTGGAAGCAAGGAGGAACCAGGGGATTGGTAACACCGGGAAAGACCATGGATTTGAGTCAGTGAATATGGTCTAAAGACATAAAGACCGTCACACAGAGGGGGAAAGGAATACAAAAAAGACTGTTTGGAGACCAATTCTTTAAAATGACCGATTAACTCATCAGAACCAAAGGGTAACATCCGATTTTATTACACATGGTTATATGGGGGAAGGAAACAAAACAATTAGGCCCTCCGCACGTAGTAATATCTTTAGTGTTCTGCTTGTGAATCAAACCCGAAATAGAAAAACAACGGCAGTGCAGATAAAACAATTGGAAGGAGATTCTTGCACAATGGATTGCTCTTGGGTCAGCAGACGTGCAAGTTCACATGGTCACTTATGAATGGCATAAGGCGAGGGATAAGAAATACTGAAGTTAGGCTGCAATCTTCCTAGGCCGTAAAAAAAAGGTCGGAGATCAAGAACGGCGGGAATAGTTCTCGATGATCAGACGAGCCTCCAAACACTAGAGATGTTTTGCAATAATCGAGGGATTGTAAAACGTGAACGCTCATTTGGCCCGTCCTGCGTATTGACTGCCCAGAAGCCTGTTCACGATTCGAAATATGACTAGATTGAGGAAGGCATGTAGTCGAAGTCGAAGAAATAGGCCTGGTCGTTGTCGGTGAGTGCTGGTCGGTCTTTGGCGGGTGTCAGCACAGCCTCTTCTCGTGTAAACTCTTCGTCAAAATTAGAAACATCTTCAGTTCCTCTCTGGATCAATGGAATGACAAAACAATGGTGAGATTTAGAGCTTCAGTAAATGGCTAAAAGCATGAATTCGAACCATTTCCTTAGAAGAATACCTTGAGAGGTTGACTATACTATCAGATACTAACCATGAGTAACTTCTCAAGCTCCAGAACACTTATCACGGTGGATTGTATGTTCCAAATTTGAGCAAAGGTGGTAAGTAGTTCATTCTGTTGCCCAGAGAGATACCCAAGCCTTGAAACTTATGTGATTCGAAATTCCAAACCCAAAGGTTTAGGTTGTCGGTTCTTTCTCCAGATAACTGAATCTGAGTAGTACACCCAATAATTGCTCAATATGGACGGCCAACGGCATTTTGACCATTGTGGTTGTCTGTACTCGAGTAATTTGCACCCTATGTTGGGTTCTTCTTCCCCATATGCACCAAGGTTGTACATAACAGGAACTCAGTTGACATCGAGGGATTATATGTAACGATGGTCAATGCATTCGAAAGCATGCTCTCAGTGAGAGCTTCAGAGGGTGGCTCAAATCTGGATGGTTTTAAGTGCATTGAGGTCTGCTAATCTGTTTAGTATTGTACGCACGAACAAACCAAACACTTTGAGGACAGTGCCGGTGCATGCGCAAAGCAGTAGATAAGTACATCATCTAACGTAGACTGGTACCTTAAAGAACAGAATGGCTATTGGCTTCTTGGCACTATTTGCAACTCTGCAAAAACTAGACGGAAGAACAACGCCAATCCTCGCTCACTGACTATTTCCTCTGTTTCGTTTTATTCATACAATGTTGTTAGATATACGAAAACGAAATCTACAGAAGCTAGCGAGGATAATGAAAACCACGGTTTTATGTTAGATAAACTAAATAGCTCGATGTTTTGAATATCCAGTTAAAAGGACTATGATGCAGGCATGAATGCACTACCACCGCCACTGCATGTCACACGGTGTGAAAATCTTAAAACGATCACCGGCATCTCTACTTCCATAAAGGATGCCATACTGAACACAGTACTTGCCTCGGAACAAAACAGACTTCCAAGTTCACTAGCCGATTTACACTTTCATTGGAGTCATCTCCTGTCAGACCAGTGTTCTAAGCTTTTTGCCAATTAACAAAAAGAAAATAATCGTTCAGCCGTAACACCCTTTCGGTACCTAGCTGACGTCTCATCGGAAATAGACGAGAGCTGAAATATTGTAAGGATGCTCAAGTCTAGACAGGAACAATGGAGATGTTTGGGTTGTGTTCGAACAATGGACCTCAAGTTCAGCAACATCGCGCATTAACTACTGATATAACTCAAGCTAGCTGCGAATCAATGTTAAGCTTGAATAGTCCAGGGGAAAAGCATTCACTTGCAAAAGTGCGTATTGAACAACCAACAACGATGCCGTCCGTTTCTGAAGGATCATTGAAGCCATAGAAAACAAATAACACGAGTCGGTAGAGTACGATCGGCTGCATAAGACAGGAACTCACCAGTGTGGGAACGAATGGCGGCGGGATTTTGCGTTCTAGTAGAGCATCAAAGTCCAGGTTGCGGAAGAATGGTTGGCGTTTAACTTCAGCGGCATCCTCCGAAGAGGAACCGAGTCGCTGGTTCACATTTCGTCGCATCAACCGGCGCATTATAACTGTCGCCTCCATGCTCAAGTACCGAGGATATCTGACTTCTTGTGTGGTGATGTTTTCGAAAATCTCTTCTTCACTATCACCCGGGAAAGGGCACTAAAAACGCATGAATCGGTACGACACTGGTGTCATTGAGAACAAAATCATGGTTATTGAAAATAAATCAGATTTTTCGTCTACTGATTAAACCCACACCTTTGGTGGCTGTTCAGTCGCCCCTGGAGAGTGGACAATTCCATGCAGCCAAAGTTCATTGTGGATGTCTGAAGGCATCAGATGGACGTGTGGTTACTCGCCCATACAAGCCCGTATGGATCCAACGAAATACCATAGACCAGATGACCATTTATTAGGCGATGGGGAGGAATATGCTCAGTGCAGGTGACTACTAACTGGATTGACACTGACTTGCACATGGCACAGGAATTTGGAGCTTCAGAGGAATAATCACAATATCCTAGTCTTATAAAGGGAAAGTGTACAAATAGGCTTCACCAGGCGAACCTGAACAGACAAACAGAATGTTCCACCGATACATAAATCTGTTTGCCCTAATAACAGCAAAACTTAAGTTTGGTGCTTCCAGCCTCTGGTGTGGACTCACCAGAAAAACTGCGCCAGAACAGGAGCAGTGATGTGAACGCGAATTCTACAAAATCCGTAATTACCTACAACCGCTAGTATATGCTCCCCTATGTTCGCACTTCGTCAGGAAAACGCAGCCAACACATTGGACCAGTAGCGGACGTCACAACTAGCTCAAATTACCATGTGAAGCAGCGAATTGAGAACGGTCAAATTCCACTCAGGTGTCTGCTCAGATTTATGCAACCTCGTAGACCGGCCAAACAATAAAGTGTATATCCTTTGATGATTGAAAATATTGGTGAAACATAGGAAATGGATGAACAAGTGGCCCCACGCGTCACATTTACATCTGGCTGACAGCACCACCATCTGCAATCTGGCCGTGTGAGTGGACAAAAAACAACATAGATACGTTCACATGACTGAACATTCGTGCGACGGGTAAAAACACCCGTGAATGCTCGTAGTGTGCTAACTGTGTGCAATTATGGGGAAAACAGTACGGAAAGAGGGCCTTTGCGCCAAAGAAGAAAGCGAAATAACGATTTGTTGTAGGTTTGTGGAACTCAGGCCCGCATCACTCTCGTCTGAACAGTCATCCACCTGTACTCTGGTGAGTCCACAATAAAGGGGAGAGCACTGGACTCGATTCTCGCTCTTATTAGAGCTCATTATCTTTGGCCGTGCCGGAGTTTGAATTCCGCACATCTGGTAAAAAAAAATCTGACGTTGAGGGGAAGTGGATATCTAGACGCACCGGCTGACACCTACGCACGTGGAGTGCCAGAAAGTTTGACAGCATAGATAAGGCCTATGCATATCCGAAAAGAATCGGCCTTCATGTAAATAGTGTTGAGAAAATCAAGGGCACGTGGCCTGAGAACCGCTCATTCATGTCGCATGCCCGTAAAAAGTGACAGCGCAGAGTGACCAGTTCACCAGTACTTTGGTGAAACGTACTTCAAATTCGAACTGAGACAGTTGTGTTGAAGTTCACAGTTTGGTTCTTACACCCGACGAAAGTGACATCCTGGTGATATTAGCTCGAAATCATTTTATAGTTTGTGGCGCAAATCGAGATTTCAACCCCTTGAAACTTTCACAGACCAGACAAAGAATATCAGCCAGATTGTAGACAACGTTAGGATTTATAACGTCGGAAGTAGGTGACAATTGTACACAGCATACCAGTTAAACTCGCTGGTGCAAACAAAAAGCTTACTCACAGTCGAATATGATGTGGTGAAAATGGAACTGATTCAATTCCATCAATTCAATTTATCAGCTATATGCCATGTGCCATAGGCACATTGGTTTCAGCTGCTACAGTTTCGACCACCGGGAATCGGGAGAGTGTGGGACATACAGCCAAGCCTTGGAGATGATGATACGTTTGATTAGTTTGGGAACTAGGTTGAAGACGATAATCTGATGCACAAGCGCCATTGATTGTGCGATTGGTTCATTTCTACCAGTGTCATTAACCATTAGTGAGTCGAGTCCCGGGGTCCTCATCCGATGAGGCGGCAGTTGTCGACCCGACTCAGCTTACTGTATGTTTTCATACCTCGTTTCCAGGTCACATACTGTCCACCACTCGGCACAGACATCGGCGAAAACAGCTCTGCGAGACATGCGGAGTATATGTCCTAACCAGCGTAACCTATTAAGCGTGAGTAATTCACCAATCGTAGGAGGGTCACTTTTTCCTAGGACCATCTGGTCCACCTGAACATTATTAATGTGATGTTCCAACCAGACCCGATCAATGATTCGGAGACGCTGATGGTCACAAACTGACATCTTTCGTATGTCCTCTGCGCGTAGAGTCCACCTCTCTGATTCATAAAGCAGTATGGATCGCACTGCCACAGTGTAAACTCTGCCCTTGACAGACAACGTGAAGTCACATCGGCGCCATAGATGTCGGAGGTTGGCAAAGGCTGCTCTGGAACAAACTTCTTGCTTTATGCCAACCGAAGACCAAACTCAGCTGCGCCATAGGATGATTTCTTAATCAATGTTATTCCGGTCGTCATAGCGACTGGTAGCGGAAGAGCTGTAATGATCATATTTTCGAGAGTACGGATGCGAAGTTTTACAAGTACACCTGGAAAGTCCCAACAGTCAGAAGTAGATGTTTAGACAATGATTCCGTAGAAGAAATGGTCTATCCTAATCAAAGCATCGAAATGGAAGGCAATAGGTATCAGCACAACAGAATCAGATTCTGAAGTGACCGTTCCCTACCCAAGTGAACATAAACTGACATATCACATCAATAGCAGATGACTTAATAAAAATCACCAGTAAGACTGGAAAATGGACCAATATATTTCGAGCACTATTTGGTGAAGTAAAGCGACAAGTATTGGATGACTGGAAACCACTATGTTTCGGTCTGATAGTATCCACGACTGAGTAGGAGTTTCCTTTCAGCTCACACTAGGCAGCCGATCGGTAGGATTGAGCGTAACGTTACATGACAGCAGGGTATGCTGGTTGTTGATCAGGTGGCTGTTGGTCTGTTCGCCGAGCTTGGCAATAGGCTTGTGGACGTTTCATCACCATACGAGGAGACATCATCATTGTGCACTGGTGATATGTCCTCGCATGGTAACAAGCCAATTGCCAAGTTTGACAAACGGAACAACAGCCACCTGATCAACAACCAATAAACTCACCCGAGCTACTAATATTTCAACACATTACCAACAGGGCATGTAAATACTAGAGGTGTCTAGGATCATGAACGGTATAACCAAGTGTTTGATAACACTGATCATTACTGTTGACGATCAGTTCGGGGTGGGGTACCGAGTAGTAATGATACGGGTCAATTTAGTGAATCTGGTACACACCACGTACAGAGGTACATTAGTCTCAGCCACCAAAGTCCTATCAAATTGTTGTAGCAGGAACCGGGAAGCTACAATCCTGTATCGGAAATGACTGTTAGTAGAGCTTCGAGAGGGAAATATCAACTTTCGTTTAGTGTGTGAGAAAAACACGCATTAAGAGTGCTACTTCAAGTTAGTACCGTGTGTCAACATCATTCTGGAATCCCAAACACGAGAGCGGCTAGTTACTCACCGAAGTGAATTTACTGACTAACGCTTCCACACAAAACTGTCATGCATTCATCTGACCACCTCTAGATAGTTCGCAACCCGACTAAGAACAAATTAAAAAGAACTCTCAGGAGCAAACGATTCTCTGGTGTGCCGAGTGACTTAACCACCGCAACCAGAGAAGCGTGGCAAGCTGGGTTTCTTCCAACAATTAGCCGACTTCTCTCTGTATTTCTGATCCAATGTTCCCCCGGACCCGAACAACTGTTTAGAGACATGGATAGACAAAAGCTTCAGGTTCCGCTTTGTTTCCTACACATTTCCACCAGGCTTCCGAGTCAAAAAACGCGTTCGGGTGCATTACAGAGCGCCCGAATGTTACGCGCACGGTACAAGTGTCCAGTGTTGGCAAAGCCGTTCTTGGTCTTTAAACTTCGAGTAGTAAATTCGTCACCAACTACCCTACTGGACTAATTTAATTGTTCAGGTAAACAAACTTTCAACTAAATTGATTGCATTGCATTTCACTTGACATGCGTGAAACTTGCGGCAGACTGGGCAGCATATTTATTTCGGTTATTCCCAAAATATATTATCACAGAAAGACTTTCATCCGCGTATTGCATATCTCAGTGAGGATATCAAAAGACGTTTGCAATGGGATTACAGTACAGAAGAGAAGCAAGGGAAGAGGATAAACTTATTTCTTCAGAGGAAGCGGTGAACTCGAGCAAAAGCCGCTCCAGGCCATCGTGGCGCAAACTTATAACAACCGTAGATGAGAAGTACTTCAGTGATTACCAAACAGTGACAAGTAAGTCTTCCGCCTGGAAGGCAACCTTGCGTGGCTTTTTCGACCAAATTGTTAGGCGGATATTACATACTGCAAGGATGAGTCTTGCCCAAATACTTGAACCTTTAGTGGGTCAGAAATGATGACCAACAACGATTTGTATGAGTTTGAGATAGTTCACCAAACTAAGTGACCCGAAAGTCAGTGGTTCCTACACAAACCCATCATATCTACTAATCTTGTCTGAGCCTGGGAGACCTGGCAGTATGTAGGTTCTCGTGCTTCCTTTGAGGAGCATGGCCGCTGGTCACCGAAAGGGTGTTAGAGTTGAATAATAACGATTTGTACCATATCATCCCGTTTGGCCATCTGCGTGAGAGTAAGATCTACATCGTCTTCAGGAACTGTACACGGAAATAATTCTATGCCGCAACGACCATCGCGTGGCAACATCAGCACGGTCTCCTTGGTTGATTTACACAGAAAACCAGGACACTCCTGATTCCTTCAATCATTCTTTAAATTTCATCTCAACCCTTCTTCTTCCCACTTAATCTCTACCATAAATTCTGGAAATAATCACGCCGTTCAGGGCATCGCATTCTCTCCTCAGACCTATCTCCCCCTGTTTTAATCGAAATCCC